AGTGCCTTATGCCTGTTATTGAGAAGTTAGGCATGAAAGAAATTTCAAGCCTAAAGCCCTTGGTCTCTTCAACCAGATACTCCACCCTACTCAGTGGGTGGCAAAGCTTGTAGTAAATCCTAGGAGCTAGAAAGGGGAGTTAAGAAGGATGAGAAACATTGCCCTCCAAAACATTTAATTGAAAAGTATGAGTAGTAGGGAATTGAGTATGCTAATACTCAAACAACAATATAGCAGTATTAGGATATTATCTTAAATGCTGACAAGTTCCTAATCTGAAACTGCTTGAGTGTTCTTATAGATGTGTCTTGAATTCAAGCACTAATTGATAAATCTAGCTACATAAAACTGTTGTCTTTGTGCTTTTATACATAATGGCTGTGTGCAATCACAGAAGAAAAATATGTATTTGCTTTATTTTGTATATTCTAGGAACTGTGATGCTGGGAATTAGTTTAATTATTCCTAAATTGCTGTTTTCTGTATTCTGCATCTATCAGTTTCATAAATCTGATGGCCTCAGAAGGAAAGTGAATATTTTCCTTAATGACCTACCAAATTAGACAGTATTGTAATTGGGAAAAAATACTTCCTGATTCTCCTTGAAATAGCTCCTTACCTTGACTCTTGCAAATGTTATTAAGTACATTTCTTTAAGAATCTGTTATGCTATGACTTAGTGACTTCTCTCAGCTGTGAATTCTGCTGGGTACAGCATCTCCAGTGATGTGGTTTTAGATGTTCTGCATTTTAGCTAAAGGAATCACACATATTAGGCGGTTTTTTAGGTCTTCCCAACTCACTGTCTCAATATCTTTGCATGTATTTTTAGCCCTGCTGACTAGAAATTATTAAGTAAAATCATTTGCTGTTTCTTAATGATAGTTTTTAAGGGGCAAATATTATCACAGACTCAGAAAAATCCCAGCAGTCCCAGTTGTGATTTAAGAATGTGTATCTCAGTATTCTTAAAAAGCACCTAAATATGCAGTCATTTCTTTCACCTTTCTATCACCAGCTGGGCAAGATAAGAGAAAGACTAAAGATGTGTTTGCAGGAAATTGGGTAGGATCACTATTCATTAAAATATCAATAGAAGCACTGAGATGCAAAATAGCTTGCCCACCGTGGGTGACGAGGGCACTGGGAGATCTGGGAATAGATCCCAAGTCTCCTCAAAATAAAGCCATTCCTCTCTCCTGAGGAATCTGTCTTCGGGAGCAAGTTATTGTCTCTTCTTAGATACAAGGTCCCTACCCATATAGATTTGATTTTTTTTTTTTATTTACACTGTGATTACAGAAATAAGAATAAAAGTACTCAAGTGAGCATCTGCTGCTGGCTAATTTAAAATCAAACTCATGATTAGCATCACTATTGATAAAAACGATTGCCGTTTTATAGCACTGTTGGCTCTGTTTTCTTGGCATTCAGAGTTTTTAAGGTACATTTAAGTAAAATAGAAGTTAGGAGAAAGGTTTTTGACACTCTAGACAAAGCAGAAGAGAAACACCACTTAACAAGGTATTGATAAAATTAAAATCTTTGTTTTAGGAAAGTCAGACTCTTGAAGGATCAAATCCCGTCACTCACTTTTAAATATTCCCATTCAAAAAAAGATGTCTCTAGTGAGCCAGTTTACTGCAGTGGTTCTTAATAGTCTTTCTTCAGTGGCCAAGCTTGCACTTTGTACTTTTGGAAAGAGAGGTATATGGCATGAAATGTGATCTCTGAACAATTTTCCCACTAGAGCAGAGAGATTGTGTTCCCTCCCAAGGTGCAGAGGAGCAGTGCCTGTCAGCTTTTCTTCTCTCTGAAGCGAGTTAATTCCTCTTGGCTTCCCAGTGTAAACAATTGTGGCTTTTAGGTTACCTTTCAGTTTTTTCAGACAGTGCTCTTGCTCTTTTCATAGCCTTGTGCATTTTGAACACACTCACATATCTGACTTTTCCCTCACGTCACTCACCATCTTTATTCAAATGCCTGTTAATGAACCTTTTTCCTCCGTTTTACCTTAACTGAGATCTGGGCACTACAGATGAATATATGAATGCACAAATAAATAGCATAGACTGTTTGATATGAAGTCAGGCACATGGTAAAGAAATTTAATATTTGATACCCAGCAATTACTTAGAGCAGCTTATACTTTGTACACAAAAGGATCATACAGCAGACATAGAAACTTTGGGTTTAGTCAGTTCCCTGACCCGAATGTTTTTAAACTTTTATCCCATTTTTGGTATAGTTTTGCATTTGTAATACTGACAGTGACTCTGCAAAGGCATAGTTATAATCTCCAACAACACTGTCATCTGGTGGTGGTTGTAATTCACAACATTTAAATAAAAAAGTAAAAATAGCAATCAGATCAGGCTAGAAAAATGCTCTGATTATCTATTTATACTAAAGCTTTTAGGGTTCTAATCACAGCACTATAAAGGATTTTGCACAACGATTTCTTCTCATTCTGTGGGCTGCAGGTACAATGAATTACCATAATTTTCACTGCACTGTCAGATAAAACTGCTGTCTTATGTAATGTTTGTGATCAAAATACTTCCAAACTGAAACTGTTTATCTGTGCATCTATGCATGGTACACTCCCTGACTGCTTTAACATCAACAATAGTATTTTGCATTTTATGAGTAGGAGTAGAAACTGCAAATATTACCAAATGCAACATTCCATAAACTGTAAAGAACAGTGGTGTGTACATAAGTTCTGGACAATAACTTCTAATACATGATCAGTGCTCCCTTCTGCTTAGGTTTTTTTACTCTATTACCAGTTCTTGTTAATTTCTTTTTAAAGTAACCCCCTCAATGTCAAATATTATCCAGGCAGAATAATAGGAATATTCAACGTTGTTTTAACAGCAGGATGATGAAATAAAGAAAAAATCAAACATGAAAAACCTCCTTTCCAAAAAATATGAACCAACATTAAAAATTTATCAGAAATGTTACATATATTATGTTACATCGTTCTATGTCTTTTAATATTTGTGTTGGATGACTGGATTGAAAGAACTAGCTGCTAGCAAATTCATACATCTTTGACAAAGTAATTGATTTTGAACGTGTGGAAAAGAGTATTGAAAGACATATTCATAATTCATACCCATAGCTTTTTTATGACTTCCAGAAAGCTGCAATAACTTAAAGACAGCATTTTAAAAATTAGCTTAGATTGGCTGAAGGCCATATGCATGAATACTTCAGCCATCAGTAGCAACTAAGTTACTGATTGAGATAGTATCAATACTCCCATTAACAGAGCTGCTTGTTAGCAAACTTGAAATAGCGCTTAGTCTATTATAGTTGAGTTTATAGTTAAGCAAATTGCTCACCAAAGACTGTATGTTCCTGAGCACTCTGAAATAAATGGCAACATAAAACTCCCGCTCCTGAGTGCCTCTGTCTCCCTTGCGGCACCTCTAGTTCTCCGGGGACTCAGCACAGTAAGTCAGCAGAAATTGCTTGGTTTTTTGTCAGGTTAGTTTTCTGCTGACTGAATACAGAGAAATGACTAAGGGAACAATCTGACAAGCACTGGAGCTAGCAAAAGGCAAGGAATGGGATGGCAGGAATGTGTGGGCCAGCATTGCTGACACTTAGAGAGAAGTCTAGACTGCTGTGAAAACATAGTCTTTTACATTTACGCTCTATTCCCTTTCCCACGGAAATAGCTTAACTGCTATAGATTTAATTTGGAACAGACCATAACCAGTGCTGTTTGCAGATATACATTTATCTTTCACAACACCATAATATCATATTTTTCTTGTTTAGTCTATGTTAACTGGTTTACTTAAGGAAGATGAAGGGCAAATCTTCACTTTCAACAACTACTTTTAATTTTACAAAGAAATCTACTAAGATCAGATTGGCCCTCTAGAAATAAGGTACTATTCAGTTAACTATGGGATTTTGACACTCTGTGTGTGTATGGAAGAATAGTTCCAGACATTTACCACAGGACTTCTGTGGGGTTTAGAGCAAATGCTTTGTATATTGCAATATATTTTAATCAAACTTGCCCAGATGCTAAAGTATTTACAGCCCTTTTGTAAGGCTTATGATAGGGTTTTGCAGAATTATCACATATGTCTTCAGAATTTGGATACTACTACTTAATGTGGGATACCACTTTGTATTATTGGAGCACTACTAGATACATAGCCACGTATCACAAAATATTGCTGGTTTGTACCAACTCAAAAGCACAGAAAGGATCACTACCACTTGCAGTTTATCTATAACTAAACAGTCTGCTGAAATTATTTTTTTTAACATGTTACAAAAAAAAAATTAGGAAAAACAGCAGTTTATGTTTGCTGTAGATGTATCTTGGTTATTTTTTTAGTCAGTGTAACAGCAAATGATCCATTTCCTATGCACTTTTTTTTCAAACTACTTACAGATTTCAGGAGCGTATTTCAGTGAAAACATTTCTGGGCGTTAGTGATTACTGCATGCAGCCTCCTGAGTAGGGCCGTATACAGAAGACCAGCGTGGTTCATAATTTCTTGCAAACAACACCATGTATTTCTTAACCTTCATACAGAGTCACTGTCAATACAGTGTTTCAAAATAGTCCCATTATTGGAGAATGAATGCTGGCTACTGCTGACAGCCCTCTGCATCTGTACGGATAGGACTGAACACACATGCACAAATGTCATCCGACAAGGGCTCTAAAGCCAGAGGCTTTAACCTAAAGCAGCCAAGAACATTTCCGCCCTACTTTCATGGGGACAGTAGCAAAAACAACTGTGGCAAACCCTGCCTTTCCACCCTCAATGGTACTTTAGTTGTAAACAGTATATCTCAGATTTACAAACAGAAGAGTATTCAAAAGGTTTTAAGGTGGACTGAACGAAAACAGCACGACTTTCTTATTAGCAGATAGGCTTTCAGGCAGTTTCAAAAAAGCAGCTGTTGAGCATTTAGTCAGAAGCTTTCACAAGCCCGAGAACCGAGCACCTTGTTGTTACCTTGTTGCCCGATTCTTCGGCTTGTGAAAGCTTGTCCGCGACACTGTCAGTACCGGCTCAGAAGGACTCGGTCACACGAGGACTTTAAGACCGTCAGCGTTCTGGCGGGGCGGAGGTACGGGGTCACACGGTACGGCAGCGCAGAGGTGCCGCCAGGTGGCTGCGGGCGGTTGTTACCGCTCCGTTTTCCCTCCCTTTTGACGGAAGCGGTGACTCCTTTCTGCCAGCTCCGTTCCCTGGACGGCACCGCCTCCCGCGCCCGCTGGGAGAGAGGCGAGGCGGCGCTGCTTCGCCGCGGTCGCGGCTGGAGTGCGGGCTTGGGGGAGGGGTGGCCCCGGGCATTGCGCTAGGAAGTTTGTACCTCGCCGCGCACCGTGCCGGCCAGGGCGCTCGGCTCCACGTTGGCCGCGCAGGCGCAGCTGCACTGCGACGTTGCCCTGGCCGCGGAGCGGGACCGAGCGCGTGAGCGGCGGCGGGCCTCGCGGGCAGGGGCAGTGGAATCGGTCCGGTCGCCCCCCCGGGCGCCCTCGCTGCCCACACGCTGCGCGAAGCCTAGTTCCTCTTCTCCGTCCCACCACCATGTTCACCGAAGCCTGAAGCAGAAGATCAGCGAGAGCAGACCGCCGGCCGCGCGGCGGGGGAGGACCACGGGCTTCCTCCCGCCGCAGGTACGGCGGGGCGGGGCCGGGCCACCGGGCCGTGTTGGGGCTTGTGGCGGCTCTCACCCCCACCGGGGCAGGGCCGCGCCTCGCCCGGGGAGATCTTGGTATCCCGTGGGCCGGTCGGACGGCGGAAGGGTCGGGTCATGCCGCACCGCGCAGGCCCAGCCGGCCTAGGGCTGCGGGCTCGGTCGGCTGGCGGGCGTCGCGCCCCGGTTTGCTCTCAGCGCTTCGCTGGAACTGTGACATCCAAGTTGGTTGTTACTGATCTGCTTCCTACCCTAGAAGCCTCTCTAGATGCTTCTGAGACCGTGGTTTGGCCACTCTACAAGGACGGTCTTGTGCAGGGATGTAAAAACCATCTCTTGTTTGAACATCAAACGGAAAGGGGATTTGTCTTTACTATTTAAAGTAATGACATTTTATGTGCACTGAATAATGATCCAACATTGACGTCTCCAGTCATCCTTCTGTCTCAGTGTTTATTCTTTCAGTTCTGTAAATTCTTTCTGTTTCCGTCCTTTACAGGGCTGGTTTGCTTTCCTCAACCTTATGTTTGCTTTTTGTTTTCACTGTGGAAGAACTGAGAATGTAGTATAAATCTGAGATCAAGGCATTTATTTTTTTGTTTTAATCATAATTTAATCGGTTGTTTTTCTTACATGTACTTTCAGGAAATTAACTGTTGGATTCTAGAAACTACCATTTTTAAATTATAATAATGCACATTATTTATGACATGAGTGCAGAGTATCTCTGTAAGTGATAGTGGCCAGAAAAATGTTGTGATGATTTCATATGTGCATTGAAACAGAATAAATTCTCTCTTATCAAATTTTGGGTAGAAGGGCTTCAACAAGTTGTCTTTGTATTGGCAAACTCCATGTTTATAGTGTCTGCCTGTGTGTCATCGCTGGGTTTTAAGTATCCTTTGCATCTTGGAATCTAAAAGAGTAAAACTGATTATTAAACTCTGTATCCTGTAAATGTTAAACTATAGGCAGGTAATTTGGTTAATTTGACAAATGGATGATCAGTTGTCTTGGCTTGATTGAGTGTAATTTGAACCGCTGGGAGATCTGACACTGCATAGTCTCAGTATTAAAACATGGTTTCAAAACTGCTGACATTCAACTATGTTGTATTTCTTAAATCACTCATTTGTCTAATAGAGGTAATATTTTTGAAAATGGGTTTACTATAAAGTTTTATGTAGTTTTTCAGTCTTAAGGTCTTTCACTGTGTCTTCTCTAGTTAGTGAAATTAAGTATGTTTTTGTTAGTTGCAGTTTAGAGTACTGTCCTGAACTGGCATGTGTGGTCAACTTTCAGTACAGTGCAGCTGCAGAGTTTACTGTTTTCAATAAACAGCAGTTGAATTATGATACCTTGCACACAGTATTGTAATCCACTTAGTTCAGGATACTCCGTGCATATGTTCAAGGGTTGGTACTTGCTGAAAATTGGCCTAGTGAATAAATTTGGGCCTGAGGGTACATGTGCACCCTCAACTCATGGCTTCGCGAACGAAGATTTGGGAAGGGCACTACCCACGTTTGTTACAAGTGTGTTGGTGGCTAAAAAGGCCAATACGAGATAGGCATGTCCGGTTGCAAAAGGCACAACAGAAAGACTCCTTAGGTGGTATACTCTGCAAGGCACGAATCTTTCTGCGTTTTCTTTTCTCCTCAAGGGTGATCCTGTGTGCTTTCTCAAAAGCATCAGCAGCGTTATAGATGGTGTGTCTCCTGGTGTCCAGATTGGAGGCCAGAGTAGACCAGTTATGGTGATCAATATGGCCAAGGCTGAGATGTTGTTTCAGGGAGTCCTTGTATCTTTTCTTCAGGGCTCCTCTCATGTGGCAGCCAGTGGCAAGTTCACCATAAAGCAAGATCTTAGGGAGGCAGTGATCTTTCATCCTTGAGACGTGTCCTGCCCAACACAGCTGTGTTCTCAGCAACATGGCCTCAATACTTGTGACTGCTGCCTGTTCTAGAACAGATGTATTGGTCACATAATCTGACCAGTGGATGTTTAGGATTGTACGGAGGCAGCGTTGATGGAAGTGTTCTAGGAGTCACAGGTGGTGGCGGTAGATGACCCATGATTCGGAACCATACAAGAGAGTAGACAACACTAAGGCTCTGTAAACACTGATCTTTGTACTTTTCTTCAAGTGTTTATTATGCCATACTCTTTTATGGAGTTTTCCAAAAGCACTGTATGCCTTTGCTAACCTGTTGTCTATCTCACGTGTGCACCCAACTGCGTAGTATATTGCAGTCTTTATCTGGCTGTTGTAATTAATGTTGTCAAATTTCCTGAAACCTGCTACAAGAGCTTTAACCTAGTCTATACAGCTAATCTGCTGTACTGTGGACAGAGCAGATCACATCATTTAAGGGTTGACATGAATGGAAAGGCAGAAGCATAAAATTACATCTGTTGTTTTATTTTTGTGTAAAATAGTTGTCTTGCAGTATTTTTTATGCTTCAGTTGCTTTCAAGTAACACTAGGGGGAAATTATAGTTGAATTTAATCTTAGAAGTAAAATAGGTTAGTCTTCATGTGTTATTTGAAAACAGATTCTGTAAACGAGGAAGGAACGAGAAGGTTTTGAGCCCTGTAATGTACCCGAGTCTTGCAGAAAGTGTGAGATATGGTTTTGTTACTTTGCTTTTAGTAATTCAGATCTTTAAAATGGATTACTTTCTGTTGAAACATTTTCAAACCAAATTTTCCTAACACTTTTAATTTCTTAGTTTTGTGAAACTTGTGTTTGCATTAATTTTTGCTCTTTTCTTCCTATACTCTGTTGTAGAGAGGTTTCACTCACCATGCCCTCTCTGCTCTATTCATGTCTCTTGCTTTGTGACGTAGAACTTGACATTTGTACTTTGGCTTACAGTGTCTTAAGACTAAATTTACTAACCTAAGACTGTTTAAATCTGGATGTAAAATTTCTCAAGTGTGACACTTTTTCTGAAGAGATGTTTATAGTCCTCCTTCTTTCAAATGAATGGTTGGTTAACTGATGTCATCTGTCAGATTGAGAATAGCTGCACTCTGCCCCTCACAGGCTGAGGAACACATCTGTTTCTAATTGCTGACAGAAAAAAATGCTATTGCAATTACAGGTGTCTTGGACTGATACTTGTTGAAGATTATTATCTGAAAAAGAGGGATGAAGAAAAAAATGAGACAGTCAATGCTTTTTTTGCCTTTTTTTTTTTTCATGCTGACAGACCCTAGCTGCCTGGCCCCCGAGTCAGGACCATGACTGCGGGAACATTGACTTTCCATTTGTGAACACTGAAATTGTAAGGGACCAGTTGTGTCAGTTGAATGTTTATATGTTCATGGTGTTGGATGGGATTTATCCAGAGTGCTAAGGAACTAGCAGATGTTATTGTAGGACCCCTCTCAATCATTTTGGGAACCTGGGGAGGTCCCTACTGACTGGGAGCTAGCCAACATTATTCCAGGTTACAAGAAGGGCATAAAGGAAAACCCAGGAAACTACAGACCTAACCTCAGGACCTGGAAAAATTATGGAGAAGATCATACTGGATGCTGTTGAAAGACATTTAAAGAACAGTGCAATCATCAGACACAATTAATATGGGTTCACAAAGGGAAAGTCCTATTTAACTGATTTAATAATCTTCTGCACTGTGGTCACCTGCCTGGTAGATGAATGGATGGTGGTAGATCTAGTTTCTCTGGGTTTTAGAAAGGCTTTTGATACTGTTCTTCCCAGTATCCTTCTGGATAAGTTGTCCAGCAGTGCAATGAGCTGGAACACAGTGCACTGGGTGAAGAATTGGCTGAAGGGCAGGGCTCAAAGAGTTGTAGTGAACAGGGAAGTATCTGTCAGGTGACCAGTTACCGCTGCTGTTCCTCAGGGCTCAGTTCTAGAGCCAGTTCTGTTCAATCTTTTTATCAGTGATCTGGAGGATGCAGTTGAATGCACAGGTAGTAAGTTTGGTGATGATACTAAACTGGGAGGTGCTACTGACTCTCCCACGGGACATGAAGCCTTGCAAAGGGATCTGGATAGCATTGGGAAATCACCAATGACATGAAACTGAATAAGAATAAAGGCCAGGTTCTGTACCTGGGATGGAATAATGCTGGACATGAGGCTAAACTGGGAGAGGAGTGGCAGGAGAGCAGCCCTGCAGAGGAGTTCCTGGGAGTGCTGGTTGGCAGAAGGCTCGGCAGGAGTCAGCAGTGTGTGCCCTGACAGCCAAGGGGACAAACCACATCCTGGGGTGCATCAAACACAGCATCACCAGCCAGCCAAGAGAGGTGGTTGTCCCCCTGTACTTAGTGCTGGTGCAGTCTCACCTTGAGTAGTGTGTGCAGTTCTGGGCCCCATCATTTAAAAAGGATGTGAAGGTGCTTGAATGTGTCCCGAGAAGGGCACCAGAGCTGGGGAAGGGGCTGGCAGGAATGGGCTCTGAGGAGAGGCTGAGGGTACTGGGTTTGTCTGGTTTGGACAGGAGGAGGATGAGGGGTGATTTCACTGCTCCCTACAGCTTCCTGAGGAGGGGAAGTGGAGAAGTTGTGTCTGTCAGGGGAGATTTGGACTTGACATGAGGATACACTTCTTTACTCAGAAGGTGGTCAAAACCCGGAGTAGGTTTCCTGGAGAGGTGTTCAATGTCCCATGCCTGTCAGTGTTGAAGAGGCATTTGAAGAGTGTCCTTAAAGCCTTGCTTTAACTTTGGTCAGCCTTGAAGTGGTTAGGCAGTTGGTCCCTTCTTACTTAACTATGCTATCCTGTTTCATCTCTTCTGGTCTAGCCATTTTCAGTTACTTAATCTTTCTGTTCCTTACATGAGATGAATACGTATTTTTTTCTGCGAAGCTCAGTGCCACTGAAATGACTGTAAATTGACAAGAAGTCTGAATGCAGCAGTGAAAACTGCAGAACTGTTAAGGGCAGGGTGAAGATATGTGTTGATGCTGCTTCTAAACAGTGACAAAGTGTTCATGAGCATTTGGAAATCAATTTCCTTCTGTATTATGAGGGCCAGAAATAATCTTTAAAACCCTGGCATTAGGTTGGGGGTAGCAAGAGAGTAGGCTTTGGCATGAATAGATCATCATTGTTTTACAACAAATATGAATAGTTCTGGTGTGAAAGGAATAAATTTGTAATATATTGGCATTAATTCACTAGTATCCACATTTTACAAAAAAGTACCTATAGATTTAGGCTATAAAGCATGTGTAACTATCTGAAAAACTGTGTATTTTGGTTATATCTTTTCAGTGGTCTGATGCTCTTGTCAGTCATGTTTTTGAACATCTAACTCTGTCTCATGAGGCAAGTGTTTTGCAAAGCAGAATTTATGTATGCAACCTCGGCAATGGTGTTGCAAAAAGTTGTTAAAATATTTGTTGTGTTTTGGTTTGGTGGTTTTTTTTGTTCATTCTGGTTATGTTGTAGAATATACCTAATGAGAGATCTTGCTAGTTACTTTTTTGCATATGCTTGTTGATACTTTAATGCTCATTACATTTATACTGAAAATTTTATATTTGAAATTTGAATTAGGAGGCTGGCAAGCTACATTTGGCTTAGGTTGGTGTGACTTGTTGGAACAGCACTCTACATGAAGTGGTAAAATTTCTGTGAATAGATGTTCAGTGCTGATAGGAACAACAAGTACATATTGACATAATAAAATGTGGCATTTTCTGCTGCCCTTTTTCATTGTTTAGATTCAATTTTATAAATGTTGTTTTTTCTTCTTTTGTCATTTTTTCTTGTTAAAAAGTAATCAGACGGTATTGCACTTGTAAATGCTTGAATCCCTGTCAAATTGCAAAACTTTTAATCCTTAAGTAACTGTACTATGTTGCTTGTGTTTTAAATGTGGTCTAAGAGAACTATAGTCAGAAATAATCAAAATAACCTATGTTGTTGCATGTTCTTGTGGCTGATTCGTGGCACATTCTGCTCTGGAGACAGAGGTAGAACTTGTCATTTACAATTTTTTTCTTTAAATAGTTCTAGACTAGGCTTTACTGAGATGCTATAGTTAGTAATTGCTGAAGTAAATTTGATACAGAATAATTAGTTCTGGACTTTAAGGTATTACTTGTTGACATACCTGATCTTTGTGTAGGTCCTTTCCAAATCACCTCCACCAACGGGCAACAGAAGTAGGACATCTTCATTTACAGATCAGAATGATGAAGGCACTGTAACACCGGACAAAGAGGTCAGTTGAGAACTGTTTTTCATCTTAAAAAAAAAAATCTAACTTTGTGTCCTTGCTTACATTTTTTTTAATTCCTCAATGTCACTATTTTCTGTGCATTTATAACTATGAATAGTCTAGTTTTTAACTTAAATGCTGAAGTGTTTAATATTAATAAAACAGACCTTTAAGCTTAACTCCAGATTAGGAAACTTTTTAAGTCTTTAGGTGTTAAAAATCTTACCCCTGAATTGAACTCAGTGAGGTAGTGGAACAGAAGTTACATTCAGAGAGACTAACTTTGGTTTTTTTTGCCTCTTTTGGTTGAAAAGTTAGGTGAATCCAGTTAACTGCACAGTTAATTTGAGGTAGATGATTGAAAAGATTTAAACAGAGCATTTGTGATTGTTTCTAACCACAACCACTAATAATTATCAAACTTAAACATACTTGCCCCACCCCCCCCCCTTCTCCCCCCAAAAAACCCAACCCATCCCCTTCCCAAAAAACCAAACAGCACACCAAAATGAGCCTAAATTATTAGTCATAAAATATCATTAAAATCACTATTAGGATAATAGGTAACCCTGGCTTGCATAGAGAAGATAATCTGCACTCATCTTTTTTCATATTGAGTACTGTGGCTCTTTTGAAGTGTCTTGATTAAAAAAATCAACAAATACAAACAAAAAAATTCCCTGACTTACTGAGCATGGAAATAGACTGGTAGCATAAAGGATCATTCTGTGAACTTTTTCAGTTTAATTTTTAACACCATGTTTTCTTCAGGAGATAATCAGTTATACCTGAAATTTTTATTAGATTCCATTATGAACGCTACCAATGATTACAGCTTGGCAGTTTACTTCCTGCAGTTGTAGAAATGAAAGGAAAAGCATGTCATGGTTTTGTTTTATATTTATTTTATATATATGAAATGCAATATTGAGTTTTCACAGCTATATCTATATGCGTATGTCTGTCTGTAATGACTTCTCCCTGTCCCTGGAGAGAGATCTCCCTGGAGAGAGATTCTGGTGCTCCAGAATGTCAGCAAACAGTGTCACCCTGGATAAATTATTGTTTTTCAGTAATTTCTGTTCTTAATGAAGGGTACAGAAGTAGCATATTGCCACATGAGAACTACCACTGTGGCCTGGCAGTGAGCTGGTGCTGAGAGTTGGTTACACTGATGACCTGTGTAAACAAAAGATTCCGTGCCTTTTTAAAATTTATTCTGTGTATCCATTGTATAATGTGCAGAGATTAATGAACAGATCTGACAAAGGTTTTCAGACTTTTTAAGCAGCAAAAGCTTAGTCGAATATGAAGTATTGAAGCCACGAGACAGTGATGTTCTTCTGTGCAAATGATTCACTATTTTTTGTCTGTCATTGACTTGGTGCTGCCTCCACAAATGGAAGAAATCTTCCTTTCTTTTTCAGTGGGAAAATAAAGGGAAAGATTCAGTGTAACTTACTGATTGATTGATTGAAAGGTAGAATACTTTTCCTTAACTTGTATTTATTTTTTAAGATGTTTGCTTTTATTCCAGATCAGAAAAAGGTATGTGATTCTGAAGGCTTATCTTCTTTTTCAGTTTAATCACTTGATTTAGTAAAAAACAATAGTTCTCTTCACAATTTGGATAAGATATTTAAAAGATAAATACATTTCCAAATTTTGTTGGAGGCTACTGACATGTCACCTGTATGTATAATGATTTCTGAAGTGTTCATAATTTCTATGGAGAGCCACTTATTTTATTAGATGTATGTTGTCCCCAGCAAACTCCGTTTTCAGACTGCTTTTACAGACAAACAGGAGAAATAAAGGATTTCCCACAGGACATGCCAAGTTACATTGGGAGAATATTAATCTCTAAATACAGGGGTTAGACTGGAGTGATTGGAGAGGCAGAAGGAGAAATAAGATTAAGACTGGTAAAAGAGTACTAAAATGCCCTCAGATTTACAGTTATCCTTGGTCTTAGTGTGCTGCCATGACAATTTTACTTGTGAAACATATCCTTTAATTAAAAATTTAGAAAGTAGTCAAGTGCTAAAGGGATGAAAACCTCTTACTTTTTTTGTAAGGACTGGTTTTACATCAAATGGAAAATATTACTAAAAGTAAGTTTAAATTATTAAGACATGAAATTTAATTTCTCTAAATTTTTTTGCAGTGTTCTCATTTCACCAGGCAGTTATTCTATGTACAGGTGTCAATGGCAGTGGCATTACAGTGAACTGTTGGACCGTGTTTAATACACTAAAAATATTTGGTTGTAGAGTATCATGTGCTAAAGTGTTTTTGCAGTACATGAATAATTGCTAACCCTTTTACTACTGAAAGCTAAGCAAAAGTAGTTTTTCATCATGTTTTCTGTCTTCCCTGTGGCTGTGTTTTAGTATGTCTTCAATAATCATGATTTTTGATTTTTACTTCTGTAATATCAAAGTTGCAAGTATTGCATGTGAAATCCTTGATTTACACTCAGAATATTTTTATAATAAAAACAATTTCAGAGTGAATTACAGTTGTAAATGACAACATTAGTCTGATCAAAGAATTATAATAAAACATACATGCAAACATTCTTGCTTTATATTCTACAGTAATAAGATTTTTTTTATTTTTCAAAATTCCAAAATGTTATCCGTTTAAAATAAACCTACAATTTATATGCTCCATTTGTGGAATACTAAGCAGGTTTCTTTTCCACACCAACTTTCTTCTTCAGATTGTATTTTATTAGATCTGTGGATCTTCAGTGGCAGTGTTACAGAGAAACTCATAATTTTTTCATGTATAAGGAAAAAGAAGTCTGTCTAGTTCTGTAGCTCATATATACAGTGTGAGGTAAAAGCATCTATTGGTACTCGCATAGAACTTCTTCAGAAAATTTGCATATCAGATACTTTCTGACTTCATATGTTGCCATTTGAAAGGTCCTAGATGATTAAAATATGCTTACTTAGTGCTTCCAGTCTTTTCTGGGGAAGAATAGTGTTTATTTTTCAACCTGTTACTGCATTCACTCTGAAACAGAATTTAAGGTGAAAAGCATCAGTTATATTCACTATAGTTGCTGGAAGTTCAAAATTTTCTTTTTGTTCTACCATATACTTACTTAAAAGTCGGGCCCACCTGCAGAAGATAAACAAAACTAGTTTACTGTCAGCTGACAGCAAAGAGCTGAGACCTTGCTGTGGATGACCTACCGGTCATGCAGATCGAAATATCACTGACATCCTCTTGAGTGTTATGGAAGTGACAACAGAGCACAATATATATAGCTCTTCTTACAGCTAAAGATAAAGTAGCCATGGTACTATAGTGGTTTGAATCTTGTTTTCCCCCAGAGGCTAAGAAAAGTGGTAGACCCCAAGGGGTGGTTTTGAAGTTCTGTCCAATGGGCACTCCTGCAAAAATGTCAACATACCAACAGGCACCGGAAGAGATGAGTTGTAGTTTGGTTGTTGAGGAGAGGTGACCATGTTGTAGAGCCACGAGGAAGGGGCTCTGAGCCCCTCGGGGCCTCTGGGGCCTCCCAGCCCCAGCTGGGGGGACTGCAAAGACCTGGAACAGTGCTAGACTGGACTAAGTGTCTGTAGTTAAGCTGGGAGATGTTTTCTCCATGGGTGCAGAGCAGCAGCCGGCACTGACCAGAGAAACGGTGGCAGAGAGCCAGGACAGATAAGACCTGAACCGGAGGAGCAGCAGAAACAACATGCAGCACTGCAGAGAAGACTCCTGGAAGGAGAGCCGAGGAAAAGAGAGCCAGCAGCCTGAGAGACAGAGTTCTGGGGGTGAGAACTGATACTAGACCCCCCCAAACTCCTTTGAGACCTCCGAGAAAGGAGGAATAGATGGACTCCTATTTGAGAGGAGCCTTGAAGTACAGCATCACTGGAGAAAGAGGAGCTGAGAAGCTCAAAGATGTCCTGGAGCTGGGCCGGGACGACCAGATGGAATGCAGAGGGGGTGACCTTGGCTCCCCCCTCGCACTGCTGCCAAGGTGGCAGCCTCATGCAGTGGCACAGAGGCCCTGCAAGGATCTTGGAATCTCCTGGAGATACCAGACCGTCACGAAGACCCCTCTGTGTCTTCGTGATATGACCGTGGTGAAACGACCTTGTCTGGGGTTACGTAGCCCACGGAAGACCCCTTTGCCTGCGTCAAGGGGGCCGAGGGAGCTTGGATACCTCCCCCGTGAGTGCTGGCAGAAATCTAGCCACAGCTGCTGCATGCAGGAGAAGAAGAAACCTGCTGCCTTGGAAAGTACTCCTGCTGTTCGGAGACTGGAAGGGATCTGTCCTTCTTTCCCTCCTGGACTTTTATTTGGAGGGGAGAAGAGATCTGATCATTGTAAATGTATATGTCATGGTAGAGATAGTTGTGATTGTGTGTATAATGTGTTATAATATTTATTTGTCCAGTCATTGTAATATATTCCCTTTCCCCCACTTGGAGTCTGGCATGTTTTTGTCTGGAAAACCCATCTCACATTAGGTTGACATGTGGGAGGGGGCTTAGACTAGAGAAATTGGATTTTGGGGTATCTCAAACCATGACAGGTACTTTTCAGTCTCACTTTAGTGCTGTAAAATTACTTTTAAAAGGATTTTTAAATTAATTGAAATATTTTTATAGCATTGGCTATTAATAAAGCACGACAAGGCAAGCTGAAATAATATTCTTTCAGTACTTTTGCTAATCCTGCATCTTTCCTGTATTGACATACTTAATTTGAAGTAGTTCTTAACAAATGTTGCCATGCAAAGATGGTACTGGTTCAGATATATCTATTTTTTTCCTTTCTGACATGCAAATTTAAGACTAAATTTGTATGTATGTAAACTTGAATTTTACAACTCCTGATGCTTACACCAACATGATTAGATCACTCATGAAAGTTAAAAGCAAACCAGAAAAGACCTTGTATTTGATTTCTGTACTTCCTCTTTCTGAAAATGCAGTTCTGCTTTCTTGGATTCTGGGGCTTTTTTAATTGCAGGGAAAACCTTGAACTTTCAGCTATTCATTTTTTCCTATTCCATGATCACAGTAGGGATGAGACATAAAAGAGTATGTTGCAAATTGCACAAACTTTTTATAAATAAATATTTTGTAAATGGGAAAATTACTGAATTATTCACAACTTTTTTTCCTAGCATTCCCCAACTTGGACAAATAACCAAATTTATTTATTTATTTTACTCTGAGGAATGATTTACTTGTCAGTAAGAATTGAAACTCTAAACCTTTAGCTGGTAGCTGAATCTGCTAGCTCCTTGAAGTAGATGAGCAGATACTGGCTTTTCTCTTAGACAAGTTGTGTACCAAAAAAAAATCAGAATGAGAGTTAAATATTGTGATGAAAGATCAGCCATATCACAGCATATTAAGGAAACTTTCTTGTATGACCATCCAGGAGCCACTCTGGCAGTCACACTTGCACCATCCCAGGCTTTCACTGCTAGGACTTAAGCCCCTTTGCCACAGGCAGCTCCAATGAGCCAGTGGGTGACTTTCTTGACTCTCTACTCACACTCACATTGTCAGACAAGTTCCTCTTACTGGCTTGACCCAAGGTTTCCCACAGCAGAGTCCCAGACTTCTGGTTCCTTTAAGTAATTTTATCAAGGTGCAGCAACATAATGACAGATCAGGCTGGGTGCCTCCAAGCTGAGATACTGAACAAAGGAATCCCCGGGCTTTCAAGTCTGTGTGCGTGTTCCAATGGTGATCTTTGTTCTGGGGTCTTCTCACTGTTCAGTGGGTTCTGCAGAGTCTCTGGGTGACTGGCCACCATCCAGCCAGCACAGCAAGTCCCCATGCCCTTCGTTGGGGACCATTTCCTCCTACCCAGGGCACAACCTGCAGCTTACAATGCAACTGTACACTGAGCTACTTGCACTAGATGTAGTCCTTAACAGCCTTCAGCCTATAAATTTGGTGCCTGAGATTAAGATCAGTGTAGTTTAGGGAGATCATATGCCCTGGAGTATCACAGAATCACGGAATTATTAGGGTTGGAAGAAACCTCTGGAGGTCATCCAGTCCAACCCTCTGGCAAGGCAGGGACACCTACAGGAAGTGACACAGGAATGTGTCCAGATTTGGTTTGAATGTCTTCAGAGAGAGAGACTCCATGACCTCCCAGGGCAGCCTGTTCCAGTGCTCTGCCAGTCTCAATGAAAAGAAGTTCTTCCTCATGTTGAGATGGAACTTCTTGTGTTTTAGTTTATGAACACTGCTCCTTGTCCTGTCACTGGGCACCACTGAAAAGAGTCTGGCACCATCTTTTTGACAACATCTTTTGAGATATGTGCATGTATTAATTAAATCCCCTCTCTGTCTTTTCTTCTCCAGATTGAACAGGCCCATCTCTCTCAGTCTCTCCTCATAAGAGAGATGCTCCAGATCCCTAACCATTTTTGTGGCCCTCCACTGCACCTTCTTGTAAGATTCCAGCTCTGGGAGCTACCAGCTCCTGGACTCAGCTAGGAGTTTTACTTTAAAATATAAATATAGGGTTCTTTAATACCTCGAGATAGCGTCAAGAGAATAAGCCACAGATTTGTTCTCAAGGGATTTATTTATTCATTTAGGGCAGCAAATAAGGGAACTTGTGCAGAAGGACACCACACAAGCTAGACAAAATGTTCCACCACAGTGCTGACTCAGTATATACTATTAATCCACAACATTTAAATCAAAATCCAATCCCTCCAGCTCCAAGCCACCCTAAGCATCAAGAAAGGAGCAAAGAAAGAGAAGCAGAGGGAGCAAAAAGAAGGAGAAAGAGGGAGAGAGAGCTACCACAGAAACCTTGTAGAAGGCCAGCTCTCACAATTTCAAGTGGCAGGACCACGATGCAAGGCAAAGACATACCTATGATTTTATCTGCTCTGGTCGCTATGGCCAACCCCTCTAGGCCACCAGCCACTCTGGGGCTCCAGGCCAGGGTGGGGGGCAGTATCCTCACTGGCTCTGCCAATCTGCACTGGGTTAGGGGCTCCAGGAGGTGTGGTGTGTTATAGTTTTCCTGGGCTGTTTGTGACTGATGGCTACCCTGGGGCTTCCTCATGTGGGCTCCAGGGGCCTGCTGTGAGGGATGCAAAGCCACCTCACCTCCATGAGGTTCGACCCATCCTTCCCCCTCCACACACGCACGCACACACACACACACACACACACTCCCCACAAAGTGGTTCTGACCCAGTAATAACTGGTCGGGTGTCTAATACCTCTCCAGAAGCAACTTGTCTTTCTTGTACTGAGGAGCCCAGAACTGGACACAGCGCTCCAGGTGTGGCCTCACTAAAGCTGAGTAGAGGGGAAGGATCCCCTCCCTCGACCTGCTGACAGTGCTCTTCCTAATGTACCCCCGGATCCCATTGGCCCTCCTGGCTGCAAGGGCACACCGCCAGCTCATGGTCAACTTTTCATCCACCAAGACTCTGAGGTCCTTCTCTGCAGAGCTGCTCTCTGGGTAGTCAGCCTCCAACCTGTACTGGTACTTGGGGTTATTTGTCCCCAGGTCCAGTGCTCTACACTTGCCTTTGTTGAACTTCATTAGGTTTCTCTCTGCCCAACTCCCCAGCCTATCAAGGTCTCACTGAATGGCAGCACAGCCTTCAGGTGTATCAGCCGCTTCCTCCAGAGTATGTTTCAAACAGAATGTTGGAAGATCTTACTAGGATTTCTATAGCAAGCTTCAAGTGGGATGTGATGGCATTCAGAGGATTAGAGCAGGTTAATTAAACAATTACATCTTCGCATACTCTGTTTCTGGTATGCTTCATCCTGCTTGGAGTCACCACTTGTCTAGTTTTATTGATCACTATACTGGTCTAGCGCTAAAGTGGTGCTAGTGATACATAAGACAGTATAGCACCAGATGTCTTTAATGTTTCTGAAGCTACTAAGATAATTCAGAGTGGGTTTTAGGACAAGTCCTTAAGTGCAAGAATCCCGTGGTAATATTGTTTAATTTTGCTTGACT